ACACCACAGGACATTAAGTGTGTAAAAACCCTTATCTGTTTTTCCTCATACCTCAGTAAGCTCCCAAGTAATACTGATGGTCCAGCAGAGGCCATAGCTTCGAATGAGCAGGGCCTTCATACCCCAGCCCCAGAAATGGCTGAATGCAAAAATGTCAAAATGGCTCAGGATTCTCTCCCAGGTTATGACGTGGCAGTTCACAGCATATTCCTGTGGAGAGCAGCAAAGATAGCCTCATTACAATGATTGATAATCCCCTGGTAGTGAGCTCAACTGGTGCATGTTAATCAATCTGAAAGTTATTTTCTGTGTAAGCCTGAATCACTCACCATTATGTCTGCCTCTCTCTTGGCATAACGCAGGTTTGGGTCCAACCAATACATTAGCTGCTTCACCTGCTGCCAGTTGAGGAAGATGATTAAAACCAGGAACAGGAAGTAGAGGACACTCAGACCTTAACAGCAGAGAGATATGACATTGAGAAGGAATATCTAAGGACCACACAAAAACAGTTTCAACCTTGGAGACTTGTAGCAATACTCACCAAAAACTATTCGCCATATTGCTGGATGTGGTCTGGTGAATGGACCTAAAGTGAGGCACATACAGACACTATGTCAAAGATATAATACAACAAGTGATGGACTGGACACGGTTTGTCATTATGACTAAACAAATAAACCACTTTTCCTTCGCATTGTTATTTTGCATATACTGCTCATAATCTTGGACAGTTTTGCTTCCTTGTGTACACTGTTAGATGTTATTTAAGGCTTTGAGAAGGAGTAAAAATCCCTACTGTGAGATATGACTAACAATAGTAACCAAAAATAACACTGCATGCTGTCAGAAAAAGAGACAGCATTACACCAGTGCTAGGATCACTGCACTGGCTACCTATCGAATACAGGATTGATTTTAAGGTTCTTTTATTTGTTTTTAAAGCCATACATGGGCTGGCACCCCAGTATATTGCTGAACTTCTCTGGCCCTACTCCAGCTTCCAACCCCTTAGCTCCTCAGAACAATCTCTCAGATTAGTCTTTTTACTGTCCAGCGATCGAGGCTGGTGGGTAAGGGAGACCATGCCTTTGCGGTAGCTGCTCCAAAGCTTTGGAATAGCCTTCCGCTCTCAATCAAATGCTCCCCCTCCACTGACCCTTATAAGACAAACCTTAAAACAACAGCAGCAGGAGCACTGCCAGAGCCCTACAGAATGACCTCCAGCAGGCTACTGGTGTGCATGTTTCTGGCCAAACTGTCAGAAACAGACTCCATGAGGGGTGGCTTAAGGGCCTGTACTAACAGTCGAGCACCGTGCAGCTTAATTGGCATTCGCCAGAGAACACCAGAATTTGGCGATCCGTCATTGGTACTCTGTTCTCTTCACAGATGAGAGCAGGTTCACACTGAGCACACGTGACAGGTGTGAAAGAGTTTGGAGATGCCGTGGTGAACATTATGCTGCCTGTAACATCATTCCGCTTGACCAGTTTGGCAGTGGGTGAGTGATGGTCTGGGGAGGCATAGATCTCCATGTCATATCCAGTGGTACACTAACTGCTGTTAGGTACCAGGATGAAATGGGCCCTGGGTTCCTCCTGGTGCAGGACAATGCCTGGCCTCATGTGGCCAGAGTGTGTGGGCAGTTCCTGGATGACGAAGGCATTGATGCTATTGACTGTCCCTCTCTTTTCCCCTGACCTAAATCCAATTGAGCACCTATGGGACGTTATGTATCGTGCATTCGATGCCGCCAAGTACCACCACAGACTGTTCGGGAGCTCACTGATGCCCTGATCCAGGTCTGGGAGGAGATCACTCAGGGACTCATCAGGAGCATGCTTTCAATGGCCTTTGGCTGTTTGTTGTGGTTTTATTCTGTTTTATATTTGTGTACATTTATATTGCTATATATTTGTATGTCATTCCTTTATTTTGTATAGCACTTTGGTCAGCTGAAGTTGTTTTAAATGTGCTATATGAATATACTTAATTTGATTTAATGGTGACAGAGCTGAATGACAAATCAAATTTTCTTTCTACAGTCTATTTACTCCTCTCATAATGACTTCCATGTTAAAGCTAAGAGTTTCATGTAAAGCAGTCACTGTTATTTACTGTGCTAACATATGGTCGTGTGTGAAGCACCTCCAGGCTAACTGTAATTAAGAGCTATGCAAACACACTTAACTAAACTAAATAACCATTTCAGTAGCCTTTTTTTGCTCACCATTAGGAAATGCCAAAACACTGATGACAAGGAAGAAGGAGATGACCAGGATGAGCCCCACCCAGAGATTACTGTCTGGATTCCCATCATCTCTGCAGACAGGGTAAACACACGTTTCCCAAACACACAGTTAATATCACCAGTGATGCTGTGGTATATGTTAAACAGACACTTTTACATGTAGCCTATGCGTTATATCCCCTACACATCTGTAATGAAGTGAGCAGCAGCTGGCAAAGACATAAAGCTTACATTATATTACATTTATTGTGGTTTTTAAAGCAGAAAATCAGTGTAAATATGACGTTATGACCCGTTTCCATGCTAGTTACATTGTTGTTGCTAATGCCCAGGAAAGTGTTCATCACTGGACGACCGTTATGTAACACACATCTATTTATTAGCTTCTGTTGACGATGAATGAGGGTAAAATGTAGTCAGTCATCACCAAGAAGCTCATTCCAGTGCCTTCGTGTGGATGTAAAGTTTATTTCAGTGAGAAAATCCATTAAAGAGCGGCTAACAGCTAGCTAACCTCCCCGTGTACCTGTACGCTGTCAGAGCATCACTGCTGCCGTTAGCCGGGCGCTAGCTAACTAAGCTAACCCCAGCGAGCTAACGCTAGCCGCGAGCGACTTACCTTGTGAACGCGAAATACATCAAACTGAGCACGGTGCATGTCAGCAGTGTTATCGTGTGTGGCCTGTAGAAGAAGTCGATCGTGATATCTTCAACCTGCTGTTCGTTTATCATTCGGAAATGCATCCTGTAATTCACATCATCCTTGCTCAAGGTGTGGGATCCGCTGTACACGGACGCCATAGCAGGACGCAGGCAGCAGCAGCAGCAGCTCCTCACAGCAGCATGAGACAGTGATTCACACCACGGCTGGCAACCTCCTCTAACTGCTACTACACACACAGGAATGACTTAAAATTAATATATATAGTTACATAGCTCGCTAGCAGAGTGTAAAGTAGATGTGACAGCTAAGCAGGAGGAGCAACAGAGGGTTAAAAAGAGAGGAAGAAAGTTTTAGAGGGATTGTTCACTTTTGATTGTGATTGGTGTAACATGGTTGCAGGGAGTGTCCCAAAGCGGAAGAGTGCACATGCTCTCCTTCATCATGTGCTGCTCTGATTGTTTTTAGCGTGACCTCCGTGCAAGGTCTTAAAAGCATGACAAGTGAACAGAGGTTGATTTCTTTGAGTCTGTCAAATCAGTTTAACACCTTAAACTGTGACCTCCTGGAATGATATTTAAAGGAACATGTCAGCCCACAGGTTTTGGCAGCTTGACCATAGCACAGTGCAAAAGTTATCTGAATGTCAAATGAAAGTGTTTCCTGGAAAACATTCTTCACTGAAAGGTGTTTCTACTCCACTTGATTTTGTGTGTGTGTTTATCTCCCCCATGTGGCTGCTCATGGCTTCACAGGTCACTGAAACCAAAAATCATCCTCAGCTCCCAGCAGAGGGCCCCATCATTTTACATGAAGAGCTCAAACAACCCACATGGGCACCAAAATTCTTGATTTACTGTTAATGTTTTGTATTTCTGGTAGTTTAGAAAACAAATGCAAAGAAATTTGAAAAGCTATTTTGCACAGAATCCCTTCACTTTAAGTAAATTGAGCACCAGAGCCGGCCCTTGAATTTTGGTGGCCCTAAACAGGATTTGGTTTCTGGGCCTTTCTCATTGTACTGTTTTGCAACTTCTCACTGCAATAAAGAAACTTGTGCACTGTAGATAGTCAGTAAAGCACACATAATGTAGGCTACAGATAAGCATGTAAGGACTAAAATGAGACCACAGTAAATACAGCACATTAACCCCTGATCCTGTGAGTGTTTTTTTAACCACCAAATACTCAGATTGCTTGTTATGTAAAGGACAGTAACTCACTTACTTAGTGTACCGAAATAGTCCATTTTGCCTGTGTCTGAGGTTATTGTTTGGTTTGTCACTATTTGATGGCAAAAATGGAACAAAAATGTCTTGTTTTGCAAGTCCCATTGTTATTTCACTATTGTCTTTTGCTCACTGGAAAAACACTTTATAATTGGTAAGGGGGGCTCTGTCGAACATAGGTTACCTAATAATTTACAAAAATGATTATGAGCAATGTGGCAGAAAGCATGTTTGTAACAAGAGTAAAACTAACCCCTACCTGGGGGTTTTCTTTTTAATTAGCTGTCAAACCATTTTGGAAAATTGTTTTTGAAATAGTCTAACAACTTAAAATTTGCATGGCAATTATTTATTTATTGGTTGTAACACATTAAGTAAAAAATGACTTATTCTCTCTGGGTTTACACCGCTATATGCTCGTTCTACTTGTTCCACATGATTATTGTATCTTATGAATACATAGTACATTTTGATTTGTAGTTTTTCCCTTAATGTATGACAATATTTTTCTGATACCAAATGTAGATTTACTATTTTTTTGGGGCATTTTGCCTTTATAGATAGGATAGTCAAGCGTGAAAAGGGGGGAGAAAGGGGGGGGTGACATGCAGCAAAGGGCCACAGGCTGGATTTGAACCCGGGCTGCTGCGGCAACAACCTTGTACATGGGGCGCCTGCTCTGCCACTAAGCCACTGATGCCCCGTAGATTTACTATTTATGTGATTGTTTGCATACATTGCTGATTTTAAACCCCTTTTTGTAGCTGTTATCAGCCATTGTCCAAAGTAGAGGAATGTGTTACAGGTACACAAAAAGACAAATAAAGCCTAAACAAACAAACAAAAGTTACCTTTATTTGCCCAACACAGAGTTACAAAGTGATTCACAGAGAACAGAATACACTTAAACATTTTACTTAAATCATATTTTATGATTTTATGCAAATCAAGAAAGAAAAAAGAATTCCGCACACTGACGAAGGTTGTAATGACCGAAACATAGCTGCCCTGTCCCAGTAAATATTTTATCTGTTTTGCAGAGTGGCAGCTCTGCCTGACGAAGGTTGTAATGACCGAAACGTAGCTGCCCTGTCCCATTAAATATTTTGCAAGTTTGGCAAAAGTGTGCGGCAATCTTTTTTCTTTCTTGACCTGCTGAAGTTTTTTTCCGATGCACCTGTATGCACCTTTACTGAATAAAAGCAAACAATGATTACAATACAAGAAATTTAAAATATGATCTGACTTCCAGGAGTAGAGACAGTGCAACATTATCCAGGACTTTAGGTTTAAAGGTAATTTTGGACTACAGAAATACCAACACTTCTTCTTTTATTTATGGCACACTGTTATAAAAGTATTAAACATTGCAATATGTACACAAACAAAATAACAGCTAATCTACATCCAAGAAGTGGCTCATTCATGTGCAATCGGCTGTTGGCGTATTTTTCAAATGAAAACAAGCATCAATTTCACATTCTTTGCATGCTATATATTCAGGAGTATATATGACATTGATAGACTGTTTTACACTTCTGATGTAAAGAGGAATTTAAAAGTACCATGTAAATAGACAGTTGAACGTTGGTTTGTTGCGCTCCATCAAGCCTTTAAAGCCTTCAGTCTCCCTGTTTCAGCAGTATGATGGGCTGTGGTAAAAAAAGAAAAAGAAGACAGCTATTAATTATAAATAATGTAAATTTCTCTTAAAGCTAGGTTGTAATTGTAATATATATTATATTTATAAAAAAATAAATCTAAAATTTGTTACGCCTAAACAGGCAACCACACACCACTGTCCCAAATAATAATTAGCAAATGTTACATGATCAAAAATAAACTTGAAGAACATATTACTGTCATTACTATTGTTAAAATTATTTCCACTACTGGTTCTAGTATTACGTTGTATTGTGGATCTGCGTGTGATTTGTCCACATTACTGTATCCCAGCAGAAGCCATTGCTTGGCTGCTGTGAATAGGTATAGGTACAGTTGTTGAGAAACACTATCATCTTTTTATTTCATTACATTCAAATGTATCTAAAAGTGGAAAACTAGAATGGAATAAGGGTGTTATGTAGGCTATATCACTGATGATCATAATAGTTTTGAAAAGTATGTAATGAAAATGCCATATAAAGTCATAGTTTGATCATAAAAAATGCTATAAAATTTTGATTTAAAAAGTCAGTATGGTTTGTCATTAAAATGTCACAATATAGCATGTAAAAAAAGTCATAGGAAATGTGTCACAAGAAAAAAGTCATAGTTTGTGTACTTTTCCTGTGCAGCTCTCAATCATATGCTGGCTCCCTAAAATGGCACTCAGTTATCAAAACTTTGAGAAGCCCTGATCTAGGATATTTTATCAAAATGCCCTGAAATAGTCAGCATGGCTGTTTCCTGGGGCAAATTCTCCACAGACCCCTCCCGGAGGTGGACCCCTAATGTTAAATAGGCGATTACAGCCCTGTCTTACGCAGTTGCTGTGTGTACAGAAAGAAAACAACATACCAAAGTGTTGAAATGTTCTCTGCATACAGCTTTGCTCAGCCAGTAGATCAAGACAATGGCTATTAACTTTTCAACAACCAGCAGAGTCATAATCAGTCCCTTGATTCCTTCATGGACCTAAAAAGGTTGAGACAGTGGTGGACGTGAATATACATTTACCTTTTATATCAGAAAGGCTTTTTTTTTTAAAAAAAAAAGGATAAATGCTGTTTCTCTTTACCTCAGCACTGTGCGGGCTATCTTCTAATGAAACATGGAACTTGACTGCACAGAGACAAACTGCTGCAATTGACCAGAAGAAGCTGACGATGTTCAGAGAGAATGACAGCTTTGTCTGCAGGGTGAAAAATGCAGTGATAGTGCAGGAAAGTCATTATGAACAAAAAAAAAAGATCATTGATTATTATTATTTAGACTTCACAGGAACAAAATTCTTAAACTCCATATTTGCTAGTTACAATTATTCACTCATCAGTGCAAGTTTACAAAGAAAAATAACTTAAAAACAATTCAAAATTTAACTGGATGGCAAACATATATAAAACTTCCCTCCTCACTTTAGGTCCTTTTAATTTCTCATCCATTTTTCTGCTGATGTTGAATAGCATGTTCATTTTAAATACTATGTTACACTATGTCACGGTGTGTCCGTTATCCTGCAAGTTCCTTCCTTTTTACTTCATATACTCTGAATTCATGTTTTAAAAAGGCATTCTGTAATGTCATATTTTGTATTTAGGAGATAAAAGCTTGTGTTTGGATCACAGTTTTAAAATTTAAATTTAACTGTGATTAATCCTGTTACTTACACTACTATATCCAGAATACATGTCATTATTTCTAAATCCAGGGGATAATCCACCTATTGTAGAGACATCACAATTTTTATACAAACGTAATTTTGAGCTCACCACATGAATGTTTGGAGATTGTCCAGCAGCATAGGACAGCATACCACAGACCACAAACTAAGATTGATAAAACATGTACATTACACTGAAATACAATATTGTGGAATATAAAAAGAAAACAAGATAAGGCACAATATAATACGGTAAACGTTATTGAGCACAGACGTAAAAGGAAGCACAGATGCATACAGTAGATATACTGTTCCCTAATAGCAATGGGAACAGTCTAAAGTCTAAAGAATGTGTTTCTTATTGTATTTTCACAGACACATCTAGAATGGTAACGTTCTTATGGGAGTAAATTAAAGTAGTAGTTTGGTAACTGTATTTACCACAGCACTGGGTAGGGTGTAGAACCTGGTGAAGTCTTCTGTCTGAGTGAAAATCAGACCGAGAGTGAGGATGAACACACCAGCAATGGCCTGGGCTGCCTAATAAATAAAAAAAGAGACAGAATAATATTCCATTGGAATGCTGCATGTTTTCTGTGTAAGTTAAAGCCAAAGAATATAAGTATAAAGCTATGAAACTGTGATCGTGATCGTGGCTCCAGCTGTATAAGACATAACTTACTCCAAGAGGTTTGGGTTTCCCCTTCAAAACAAAGACCTTGTAGGAATCTCTGTACACACACTGAAATTTCTCGGGCATCAGTTGACCCTCTCTGGCATCCCTCAGACTCCCAATGGGAATGGTGATGATCATTGATTCATCACAAACAAATGTCTTCTTCATTTTCCTGTGAACAAAACAAAGAAGGTTAAAGCAGGTTTTATCACCGTGGTGATCTGCTGTTGAGGTTTTCAGTAACCTACCTTTTTTTTCGTCTCTTATCTGGATTGAGACCTGAAATTCTCTGCTTTGTCGAACGAGTTTGAAAAGGAAATGACCTGGTACACCGACTGTCTTTGTCCGCCCCCCCGCCCCTCTCTCACACGCATACACACAAACCCACAAAATGCTTGCGTGCAACTGATTTGGCAAACATTTAAAACTGTAAACTTGATATTTTACATTATTTATGATTATAAATGTAAAGAAAAGTGTTTTTGTTGAATTTAGAAATACTGGACCATAACATACAACTTATGCATTGAGGTATTGGGGGTTGATCATTGTGATACTGCAGAGACCACTGGCAGAGTGAGGAAGTTAAGGCGTGAGGTGACCTCATCTTTCAAAGTATTTGCAGGGAAGTGAAAATGACTGAGGCACTTGTTTGAGACCGATACAGAGTGTGAAATAGATACTTCTCAAGCCAAACCTGGTAAGATCTTTATTGAATTGCACGGAAAAGAAAAAAGCTTTTTGTACATATTTGCAATAGAGAATATGAATGTACGAGCATCTCAGAGTCTGCATATTCGTGTGTGTGTGTGTATTCTAGTGGATTGAAAGTTTTTGTGAATGTTAAATTCTGTAAATCTGCTCAGTGTATGAGAATGAGACCGCTGAGAGCTTCAAAATACCCTGCAATATATGGGCTTTTACTTGGCTCCATGGTAAAGCCGTACTCTGTGATGAGGATGTAATGGATTGCATTGTAGTAAAAGATATGTCAAATTTCTTATCTGCCTTACTTACATAAATAAAGAAAAATGTGGCACCTTATAAAACGATGCAATTCAACAATAAAAATCTCAAAGACATGCTGAATCATCACCTCACAGTGTCAGCAACAATTAAAAATCCTTATTGTCACAATTTATCACAGGACTGTTGTGTGATATTGCATTAAAATGTACAAGGGTTTCTATTTTTCTGGTCACTCTGGGTACTTTTTAAGTTCTGCTGCTTTGTTTGTCTCATGTGAAAACCAAAGGATAGACAGTATAAATTAAAAACCATCACCCCTCCAGGTCAGAGAAGCACCATGGCCTGCGCCGATGTTGACATGAGCATCCATGGAGATGATGACCAGCCACGCAAAGCTGCGCACAGAGAGCCGCTGTTGGTGCAACATTACCAGGCTTTAGAGCTTGTGCCGGACGACAAAGGGCCGCTGCATGACCTTCTGCAGAAACAACCTGCTGTGTTGGGGGTAAGAGTGACAAAACTGCCCAGGATATCATGTCATAAAACAAACCCTCTGAGAAGGTCCTCTAACCAGTGTTGTACTGCTTAACATTGGTGTTGGTCTTACAACCAGTTTCAGGACATCTTTTTGAAGGTCTCGGTCTCGTCTCAGACTCAACTGCGTTTTTACTTGGTCTTGTCTCGGTCTCAGACAAAGTGGATTTTATTTCAGGACCGGTCAAGGTCACCACTGAATATCACTGAAGTAGATTGCAGCTCCTTACTTGTTGGTATTTGTTTGCTGACACAACTGCATTCTCGGAAAGTGTCTAATCTAAACAAATATTGAACACTGTAAGGTTCATGTCCTTATATGACTGTAATCAGGTTTTTACAGTAGAAGCCTTTAATTTAGTGCGTGTGAGTGTGTTGCTTCCTCAGTTGCAACAATGCTGCCTACAGTCAGAGAAAAAAGGAACTAAGATAGTGTTTTTTTTCCCTCATACACTACTGTATTTTATTATACATATTTTCCTTTGCAAAGACTTACATGCAGGCATTAGTGTTCACAATCTTTCACTCATTCTTCCCTGTGACTGCGTGATTTCATGCCTAAAAACATATGCAACACAAATGTATGCAAGATATGACAAACAGATTAGAGGTGCAGTGACGGGGGATGTCCAAAATGGCTTGTACCCATTGTGCAGACTTGGACAGCAGCAACAGGAAACGCTTAGTTGAGGGTTTTGTGGTATTCTGCAACTTAAGTGTAAAAGCTCACACAATCGTGTCTTCATAATTCTGTGAATATGCGCACAATATTGTCAAAGGTGAAATCGTTGGTGTGTTATTTGTTCACTCAGACTGTGTTTATCTATTATTATAATTTGGATGAAAACAAATCTCAGATTGGGAACAAGATTTAGATTTTTTTCTGTGTAAATTCTATATGTTGCATTTCTTCTTGCTTTTAACTGAATTACTGTGGTTTTATTTGGTAATGGTTTCCACTGAGGACATGAATTCATAGTCTCTGTTCCTCTGTCAGTCTCTGCAGATGGTGAGCGGTCTCTTCAGTTTTGCAGTGGGAATTCTTTTTGCAGTAACCCAGGAGATGACACAGTCCCTCTTCACTCTGTTCAGAGTCTCCCTCCTGAGTGGAGCACTCGTAAGTGTCTGCTCAAATCGCTTACATTAAAAAACAAATAATAAAAATCATGCAGTAAGTAAAGCAGATAAAACTATAAGTTCTAACAAATGTTCATCCAAGCCGTCTTCAGTATACTGACTCTGCATTCTTCTCCTCTGCAGTACATCATTGCTGGATGTGTTTCCAACCTGCTGTTCAGATATCCAGAATTGCTACCTGTAAGTACAACACATTACAGTTGGTGAAGACAGTGGTGCCCCCAAGGGGGAGCAGGGAGGACCAAGGCCCCCCAATACAACTGCTGCCCCACAGCTTGACAGGAGGAGGGCTAAATAAAGGCGGATTTATACTTGTGTGTGAGCTCTGTGCAGAGCCTACACGGCAGCCTACACACATGGTCTAAGCCGTTGTAAGCATTTATACTTGTGCAGTGGTGTGCCTGTGTCACTTTGCAGTTACATCTCCAAACCACTAGTCAGCAGTGGAGTTTCTGTGAAGTGCTGTAAAATTTTGTTGATTCAAAACACACATTAAACATGACTTAATAGAGGCGATTTCAAACACAACTACACAAATCAGCTTCACTATAACTCTCAGCATTCACAGACAAAGCACTTGTCTTCTGCTGGACACATTTTCCCCACAAATACAACATGCTAATGTTATTAGCACACACCTATGGCATTTTACATTGTATAAATTAGCTTAGCTGCTAGTGGACTTTTCCTCTACTCATATCAAGCCAGAGATAACAGCAACATTTAACAAAGTAAAGGTTACAAAATTCAGCTCCATTACAGCTCAAAAGGTTCACTGACAAAACAACTGTCTTATACTGAACACATTTTCCAAACATATATAAAATGCTAACATTATTAGCGCAAGCCTATGGCAATTAACATTGTATAAATTAGCTTAGCTGCTAGTGGAACTTTCCTCTACTCATATGAAACCATGATGAATCACACACAAGACATAAAATACTAATTTCAATCAATCAATCAATCAATTTTATTTATAAAGCCCAATATCACAAATCACAATTTGCCTCACAGGGCTTTACAGCATACGACATCCCTCTGTCCTTTGGACCCTCACAGCGGATAAGGAAAAACTCCCCAAAAAAACCCCTTTAACAGGGAAAAAACGGTAGAAACCTCAGGAAGAGCAACTGAGGAGGGATCCCTCTTCCAGGACGGACAGACGTGCAATAGATGTCGTACAGAACAGATCAGCATAATAAATTAACAGTAATCCGCATGACACAATGAGACAGAGAGAGAGAGAGAGAGAGAGAGAGAGAGAGAGATGCAGGTAATGACAGTAGCTTACAACAACATTATTGAAAGTAATAATATTATAGTTATAGTTCTGGCTACTGTGGTACAATATGTTGAAAGTATGTATTAATATCTGGTAGTATACATGTGTGACAATAGTCATATGTGTATAATAACAGTAGAAGTATGACTAATGACTAATGATGGCAGCAGCAGCAGGAGGCATCTGGCAGGACCACGGCAGCAGCACAACCACACACGTCATGCTGTCCAGGCACCGCTGCGATATGAGTTAATCTGAGAGACAGTGGAGCACAAAGGCTCCGGAGAAGAAGCCGAGTTAGTGACATCCAGAATGGCCGAGTTAGCAAGATGCAGTAACAGAATACGAGAGAGAGAGAGAGAGAGAGAGAGAAGGAGAGAAGGTGCTAAAACTTCCTTTCCACTGAGGGAAATGATTTCAGCTTGCAACAATAGCCAGAAGGTCTGCATCGCCGCAAAGTGTAGTTACATTTTTGGGGAGGTGCATGTCAGGCTATGGTGTAGGGTATGGCGTAGGTACACCATCAATTCCACACAGAGGTATAAATCCTGCTTTACGCTTCAAAGTTAGGCTCAATCTTGGCAAGGGAACAACTGGCATAGTTATTTTCAAAGGGGTCCCTTGAACTCTCACCTCAAGATATGTGAATGAAACTTGGTTCTATGGGTACCCACGAGTCTCCCCTAAACATGGGAAGGCTTGTTCCCAGTATGTTTTGTTCATTACCATCAATATGCTCCTTTAATTTAAAGCTGTATATTTGTCTTTCTATGCAAAGTACAACCAGCCTATTTGAAGAGCAATAAACCACCTAACGTATGGCTACATGACACATTAAAACAGGACTGCTGTGGAAGTCAAAATGTTAAATGCACCGGTATAAGTCTTAGCTTGGTTTGACCATCCTGATGACGTGAGCTCAACATTATGTTTCGCTCTACCTATGTATTAATCTGGCTCTGCTGCCACCCTAAACACCTTCCAGAGATTAAAATCAGGATGGTTTCATGAGGCTATATAAGTCTATGCACATCACATAATTAGTAGCATTAACTATAACCACAGTACATCATTATGTGACTGCTTAACTCTCTGTATTTACAAAGTTTTCAACTAGCCTTTACACATTAACAGCGTCAGCTAACTCCAAACATTGAGTTATGGCTTTTGGTTTTGATATGCCACCCCAAGAATTTCAGTGGCCCCATCAGACCTCCCTTATGGAAATTTCTGGGGGCACCAGTGGGTGAAGGTGAATTAATGAGAAATTAATGTATGGTTCATGTTCCAGATATCCTTCGGGGTGAACTGTGGCTGCATTGTTGTAGCTGTAGTTTCATCTTGTCTGATAAGTGTCGACCTGGCTGACTGGTCTCTGAAAAATGATCAGCATTTGAGGGTAAGACCATGTAATGAATATGACTGAAGGAAACACTTCAAAGTGCTTTTTTACCATGTTTTTTTTTTGGGAATATGAAACAAATGTATACTTGATGATCTTTATGTTTCTGACAGATGGAGGTGCTTGAACTTTGCGTGCTGGGGCTTGAGATTTTTCTCTCCGCAGTCCTCTGCTTCTGGTTCGCTAAAGAGAGACGTGCCAAATCACCATGATCGAGCTGAAGAAGATGACATTTGAGGAAATTAATACTTCAAATTAAGTGTTTGCATGCAGAGGACCAGGTGGCTGTATATTAGGACTTAAAGTAAAGAAGTTAAGAGACTGTATCAGCAGACTTGTTTATTTTTTTTGTACATCAGGCATGGCTTTCTGTTCTATCTCGATTGCTTTTATCAGAGCTGTAACCCCTGCTGAACAGGCTCGGGGCTGTGGTCTGCGTCTGATGTTTGACTCGGACCGAGAGCACAGTGCTTGTGGTAAATAGATGTCAGCTTCTGTCATGTGAAGGAAAAACCACCCTTCATCCTCCTCAACCTCTGCGTCTCTCTGTGCAACGGTAGTAGTTGGCCTCATAGTGCTGCTCTGTCAGTCTACCTGCGAGGGTCTCTGTGTGTGGTTTTACACTTGTGCTTTTTTATCAGTGGAAATATCTGCAACGTGTTTTCAGCTGCAGTCACACTTACAGCTGGTTTCAGAAAACTTTACTGAGCTATGACAGATTTGTGTGTTATATAGTCATTTCTAACTGGAAACACTTAATTTCATGTGAAACGTCACTGTGCCAAAGAAATGAACACAACATGTTTTAAACATTTTAATCATCTGTACAAACTTATAACAGGACTGGCGACAAAAGAAAAGAAATATGACAGTACAACATTCTCTGGGTTGATCTGCCTGCTATTTTTTTTGTTTGTAAAATACATAAAAAACTCATCTACAATATAAACACTGATTCATACCTAGTTCATTAAAACAAATGTACAGACCACAGACGTACCATCATGGCAGTGTATATTATGTGTCAATTTCCAATTTACAGAATCATAATGAAATGTCATATAACAGTTGAGCTTCATCCATTAAAGTCTTAGTGCTGCAAAGCTGGACTCCTTTTATTTTTATCTCCTGGTCCTGATGTACAAACTGCTGCGGCATTGAGTAGCATTCAGCTTGAGGTCTTCACAGCTACAAGGAAATAAGGAAAACACAAGAAAGGGGATTTAGAAAAAAAACTCTCCTTTGCAAATCATGCATTCAAATTATTTTATTTGAGTCAGCATGCAATGTTAAAAATGTCAGTCAGCTAAAGGGTCAATTTAAAAACCTCTAAACCAGCCCTAGAAATTACGTTTATATACACCTAATTTGAAAAAGGAAGTAGATTTAGAAGGAGAGGTAATGCCAAGAAACAACATACATTTTTTTATTAACATTATGAGGAAATGTTGCTAATTAACGACTGGCAAGCTTGAAAAAATGTTGATACTGAACATATCAGCAAAATGCTCAGCTGTAACCCATATTTGGCAATCTTGCAATACACTATTCACTTGTAGTGACTTGGCTTTTTTTGAATGACTTCTTTCCTTAACTTTAACCTAAAGACAGAAGACTGGACACGGACCCAAAGTTCTGTGGTCTAGGTCGTGCACTTTGTACACCTGCCGGTCTCACCCACCACTTCCTTCCAAAGCCTACATGTTACATGAATGTAGTGTTTTATTATTTGAAAGACAAGTTGTTACTGAACATAATCCAGGTAGCAATTACATTGCCATAACAACATAATACAAAGGTAATTTCTAAGATTATAGATTTTGTCAAAACTATAATTCCACGATTAAGTTTAGGGGTTATCCTAAATCCCTTAAACTGATATCAGTGTTGCGTACAACATCAAGGAGGTGAGCAAAACTTCTTTTTTTTTTAGCCATAATGAGTTGTGTAAGATGTAACAAGTTATACAGACATGTCCAATATCTATCATTTCTAATGCATTTTTCAAAGTTTCTTTCTTAAACCAGTGGTTTTTTAAACCTGGGTGATTTTTTGATGTTTTACTTTGGCTGCACAAACACATGCTTCTGTCAAAATGTGTGCATATGTAAAGTCTTTGATACTTGACATGTTTAAGTCCATAATATTGCTATGATTTTAAACTGAATATTTATGATTAGATGACTGTGAAAAGCATGAAAAGACACTGAAAATAATTTTTACCTTCGACTGACGGTTGAGGAATGTGTTTCTTTAAAAGTAACAGAGATAAACAGCAGGGGAGATTTTCGGGAGGCTATTGCACATTTAAATGCATTAAAGTAAAAATACTTTTGCCTGAATCTATAATAAAACGCGTAGAGGAGCAAACATGTTTGGTTTTTTTTAATTCTATTTCATGACACTTGTAACAGCCACAGAATTATGTATTTAAAACTACTTTTGGGGTCTCACTGGTTAAAAGTTGACCATACATTTAGAGTGATTTCTAAATGTGGGGAATATTTCTTTTACGAGATTATTTGAGTGTTTTATTGCTGTTTAGGTCCTACAATAAAGGGCAACACCTAAGTTATTGATTCCAAATAAATGTAATTAAAGATGAGGCTAACCAATTTGCACTGTAATATTTTATGCACCCAATCTTTTAACATATTGTTGTCATGCAGTTCACTTTTTTCCAATTCAGTGCAATCAAGGCTGAATTTAAACATTAGAAACAAATAAAAAGAAGTTAAACAGTTTGTTAAAAACAACACAAAACTCAGGCATCAACAACAACAAAAATAAAGAAACATAACTGCATTCCAAAGCCCCAAAACAAAGGCATGCGTGTGTTCAAACGTATATAAGACTGTTCACAACACTTAGTTCATAACACAATTTCCACCCTCATGTCAGACGGATGCACAGAGGAGAATGAGAGGACGAGGAAACCAAGAGACATGACAAAGAGCCATAAGGAAAAAAGACAAAAACACCCGTCAGGAGGAGAGCCCTCTAACCCACCAGGACACACTGCCATGCAGCTCACAACACAGGCTCCAAAAGCACATGTGCACACAGATTAGTAGTCAGACCACAGGTTCCTCACAGTTGTTAATGAGGCTGTGAGGGGGGACAACACAGATGTCCACTCTGGTGATACCGGTTACTTACTGAGCTAAAACCCCTCAGCTCTGAGTCAGACCACAGTAGAGAGGCCTACTGCTATATGAGCGGTCTTGCTCTGGTAAAAACAAAACAGCAAAAAGGTGGTGAGTGAAACTGAAGCTTCGGCTTTTGTATATCACTTGCTTTCAAAGCCGCAGAGGCTGAAATATAACTCAAAATAATACCTGATTATTCAAATAGTTAGCTCTCAGACTCTGTAAGAAGCAGTCTAATCAACTTTAACATTTTATCACAGCTGTTCATGAGAAGACAATTTACATTTGAGAGCAAAGGCTGGTAATGAATCGAGGAATATATTGTCTAATGTAAAGACTTTTGCAGATGACTGTTTTCTCTACATGAAGTACTGGTTCATATTCAGATACATACATTTTACAGCTGGAAAAACAAACACGTTCAACATCATTGCAACATCTGTGCTTTGTCTAAAGCTTATGTAGAACTTGTTTAAAACAGTGTGAGATTTTCACATGATGATAACCCTCTCAGAGAATTACACAATGATAATAATTCAAGCTGCAAGCCGTGACGATCGGGCCCTCGCACCTCCGCACAATTCGGAAGCGCAGGCAGGACGCAGGCTGACACAGCTGTCCTTTTCTGTGAAAGTCAGACACTGCACGCAAGAGTGAGATGGTGTTTTCTACATGGAGTGTGGGTGCTGGAAAGACCTTAGTAATGTCAGAAACTTCAATACTACCCTTTTTGTGCCTCCTACATTCAGCAACATCTATTGGTTGAACAATGCTTTATTCTAATCGAAACCTGAAACCATTTTTTTGACAGAAGTACGTATAAAAAGTCTGAAAAAAAGAAAACGTACACATGCAAATGAGATTCTCTGCCGGTTGCATTTGGTTTTTTTTCAATACCGTAGATAAGCAAAAGGATATGTTATGATAACTGCCAACTTCAGAATTGATTCTTTTAATAACTTTTAAAGCTCAACACGGTTTAGCCCCCAGTTATATTGCTGAGCTTCTGACAACCTACACTTCAAGCTGTCACCTAAGATACTCACAAGCCTACCCTCACTAGTCGTCCCTTGATAGAGGCTGGCAACTAAAGGTGACCTGGCTTTTGCCATCAAGTTCCCAAGATTCTGGAATTCTCTGCCTGAGGAGATGAGGCTGAGATTAGGCATATTCCCCCTGTTTTAAATCAATGCTTAAAGCACATTTTTATAGGAAAGCTTTTCATTTGAATGCCTGATTATTACTTTTTTATTACTGTTTTTTAAATATGTGTTGTCATTGTTGTCTTATTTTCATGCAAAACCATGTTTGTAACCATGTTGAGATCAAAACTTTACAAATTATTATTATTATATAATTTTAATAAAATGGTATACTATGAAACTGGTATACCACTGCAAACCTATTCAGAAGGTGACAGATTTGAATCCTGAACCTCTTTATATGATCAGTATGATCACACAGTTTTTTAAATCAGTCATCACAGCAAAATCAGGGTTATAATCAGGCTTTATAATCACATATGTTCCAAGATTTAGCCTTCTTCAGACAAATAAATAAAATACAATCTAATCTCTACCCTTTCTAACCTCTATTGCTTTTGCTGAGGAAAAGTAAAACTACATTTGGAGAGCACAAGAATTTCATAATATTAATCTATGCAGCATCACCCTATGAACTGACATTTTAGCAACATGTAATCTGCAGATCTTAAAAGAGAAGCACTCTAACTTTATTGCTTCCAGAGAATCCAATGTACAAAATTATCCAACGAGAGTAAAGACTTCTGACAAATAAAAATACATTAAATCTATGTATTTAAATAAAACAAAATATACCATAGGCCCCAGACTTAAATGCCCTTTACCCTGTACCAGTGCATAGCATATTATGGGGTAAATAACAGGGTCGGGTAGAAAAATATGTGCAGCTTGTTTTACCAGGTAGATGAACTCTCTTTCAATAATAACAGAAAATTACATAATGGAATCAGAAAAACAAGAAAAGATATAGTTAGATATAGATAGTATATATAGATATATAGACAGTGTAAAAAGTAGGGCTGGGCAATGTATAATATATTGTGATATGAGAGTAGATATAGTCTTTAAATTTGCATATTGTAATATTGTAGATGTTGTCTTTTTCTGGTTTTAAAGGCTGCATTACAGTGAAGTGTAACTTTCTGAATTTACCAGACTGTTCTTGTATTAATTGCCTTTAACTACTTTGTCATTATATCCACATAACTGATGATTAGATACAATCTTATTGTATAAATAATTTGTGAAAACACCAATACTCAACTTTACATTACTGTCGCAATATCGATAGCGAGGTATTCGGTCAAAAATATCGTGTTATTTGATTTCTCTACATCGCCCAGCCCTCGTAAAAAGGGAAGTACCTCGTGGTAAACGTACAAACATCTTTCACACGATGAATATAAAAGCAGAAGTAGAAAAAAATGTTCTGGGGTTAAGTATTCATACCTCTGTTTAGAGGCTTCAAATAAAACACGACATGAGAAAGAGCCACAAAATATAAATGGGTGTCAGTACAGCTATATTTGATTTGATACTGTTCTTCACAAAGTATATTCACATGAAGTGACGTGATGTTCGCAGCCGTACAACATCAGGTGATCTTAGTGTAAGAGAATATGTGATCAAACACTCACTGCTGTGATGAACTTGGTGCCCTGGGGTTGGAGATCTTCCTCTTTCTGGAATATCGAAGGAGAAGTGATGGAGGAGTGAGGCGTGGAGGAGCACAGGAAAGAGGGAGGCTCATTGTTGTTGTTGTAGGAGTCCATGACGATGCTGGGGTGCCCGGGTATAGTGAGGGTGCTCAGCCCTGTGACACTGTCACTGGAGGTGCACTGGGAGGATGTCTCTGAGCTCTCAGTGACTGTCACACAACACAGAGAATATCAATAATGAAATACTGGATCA